TACACTCATATACTTCTCTTTCTCTCTCTCTCTCTCTCTCTCTCTCTCTCTCTCTCTCTCTCAATGTGATAAAACAGATGGAAACATGATGTATATAACTGATAATAAGAAAGTTTTCTCCTTTCTAACCTATCCATACATCAGCAGCGTCTTTGAGATTTTAGGAGTTCTCTACCAAAACAACAAGAGGGCCTCCTAAAATAAAGTCTTCAACGAAAAATTATAAAAAAGAATCAAACTATATAATCAAAATTTTGTGATCATCTAAAATAAACACAGAAACAAGGACACCGCACCACTTCCTCTCTAGCAAACCAAAGAGACTCGTAGCACAAATATGGATAAACCTCTTATTTTGCACAAGCAAAACCCGATCCCACACAAACCAGCAACAATCACTTTTCCAACTCCAAACACCGAATTGGAGCAAATTCCATATGCGTGGACCAAAAGTTGCAACAAAATCATGACGTTTACGGTGGATTGCAATACTTGCTTAAAAAACACAACGAAAACCAAAGAGAAAAGCTGGGTCAACAACACCACACTGCAGCCATCCCAGTGACAGCAAGACATCCAAGAACAACAAAGTCACCAACAGCCTACAACAGCAAACACACAAATAGACAAACAAACAAAAGACAAGATCCAAATAGATCTGGGCAAAAGAACCCAAAATTCATACAAATTTGGGGAGAGAATATGAGAGGGGAAGAAAACTAGGAAAGGAGAAAGGGAGATGAGGAGAGAAGGATGGAAGATGGGGAAGCCACCCACCCCCATAGAGGGGGCGTCGGCTGTAGTGCAAGCTCACAGTTTCACCTTCAGAGAGAGTTTAGGTTTCTACGTGAGGTATTCTTTAGGAAAACAAAGAAACCCCAATTTTCCTTACTTTGTACAAAAGGACAAATAAAAAGTGAATATTAATATTATTAAATTAATATAATTTCTAAACTACAACAACATATTAATGTAAATTAATATTTAATGTGAGTTGTCCTTCAAAATGGGACCCTATACGGTCCTCACTTTACTCATGCCATCCGCGGTCCCTGCGATACGTGCATAATTTCTATGTCGAAGTGTGTGTTATCCTTCCTTTCCATGTTGCAATCCTATTTCTAACTTCAAATATTACGCTGATAAAATTTTGGGCTGGATCAACTAACTTATTTGGTTTGAATTGGACTAAGTTAATGTGTTTGGGCTTCTTCACTAGAATACCCATGTGCTCATATTGACCAACGTTGACTTTAATATCCACTCTGTTGACTACTACCTTGGTGATATTCATTGATCAAATCAAATTCGAGCATAAACACCAGTTCATGTGGATAGGCAAGCTGACCTCTAACAAAGTCATTTTCATTTGCTCCGTGCAGCTACGCCTAAAAATCCTAGTCATCAAGAAGCCTTTGTTTTGTCACCATTGCACAAGACAGCATACCTCAACCTCATAAGTCTCCTAGCAATGAACCCCAATTTAGCATGCCCAAAATACCTCTCCTTCATCTTCCCCCATTATGGACGGCGGAGGACCACCACACCGGAGATTCGAGCTCGGGCCAGAAATCATCGGTCTAATGGGTGTTTTCGCTGGAGTCATAGTTGTTGCCACATACCAATGCCTTGTCAACAACTGTTGTTGCAGCCAAAGGCGCATACAAAATGCAGACACACAACAACAACAACAACAACAAAATGAACAAAGGCAGGGGATTCAAATCAACCCAAATATTCATAGGCCTCCTACAAGCAATAATCCTCAACCTGCTCATTTGATCCCAATTTTCAAATACACCAAAGAATGCAAGGAGGGAATTTGTGCTGTGTGCTTGTGTGAGTTCAGAGATGGTGAGACAATTCGTGTGCTGCCTGAATGCATGCACTTGTTTCATGCGGGTTGTATTGACATGTGGTTGAACTCCCACTCTAATTGCCCACTTTGTCGTACGGATATTGTGCCTCCTCGACATGTCGTTTTGTCGATGCCGCCCCCTCAACATGTCGTTTTGTCGATGCCGCATTTTAGTGGGGGAGGCATTTAGGAGGAGCACTTGATACACTTTTGAGTTAATTAATCATCTTTTGGCTGTGCCCATTACTCAAGTTAGTGGGTTTTGCTTGGTGAGTTAAAAAAAGAAAATTGTAACCATCTTATGAATTATTTACTTTTTAAAAATTTACATAAGCAATATTTATAAAATGAGGAATTCGAACTTTGATGTAAAGGAGCGGGCTCATTATCCTAGCTTTTTGGGTTGAGGCCGTTGCTTGCACCAAATCCGGTCATGGTTTTTTCGGGGTCATAATTCTGTTAGGTTGAGCAGCCTGATATGAGAAAAATTTGACTTGGGCTTCTTGAGGGTCGGGCCCATTTTATCAAATTGCTAACGTTGACTTTTCCACACCGTTGACTGGTGCTTTGATGAATATATAATATTATTCTGACATCATTTTTTTTTTGGGTCGAAATTCTAACATCATATTTGAACAAAATAAATAACATTTGTTGTCATAGGCAAGCTGACCTCTAGTTGTACAAAAGTTCTAGTTATATGTGAACAAAGTAATTTTCTTTATCTTTTTCTCCGTACCCCCCACGTCTAAAACAGCATAGTGAAGTCTTTGTTTTGTCAGAAATGCTCAAGACAGCATCTCAAATCTCCATCTCACCTAGCAACCAACGCCAATTTAACCTGTGCCCAAGACACCTCCTCCGTCATCTGCTACATTATCTCTAACCCCACCTCATCTCTCTCTCCATCATGGATTCATGGACGGAGGAAAGCCACGCCGAAAACGATCTGGGATTCGAGTTCGAGACACTTAAGCTCATAGGCCTCTTGTTGTGCCTTGCAATAGGAACCATCGCCGCTGTAACATATCAGTGCCTTGCCGACCAAAGGCGCATGCGAAACAACAACAACACACAGCAACAGCAAAATGAACAACAACCTCAGGGGCTTCAAATCAACCGACAGTTGATCCCAGTTATCGAATACAGCAAAGAAAGCAAAGATGGGATTTGTGCTGTGTGCTTGTGTGAGTTCAAAGTTGGTGAGGCAATTCGTGTGTTGCCTGAATGCATGCACTTGTTCCATGCCGGCTGCGTTGACTTGTGGTTGAGCTCCCACTCTAATTGCCCACTTTGTCGTACTGATATTGAGCCGCGACATGTCGTTTTATCGATGCCACAATTCAGTGGGGGAACCTCAGCATCTGAGCTTGCAGAACATGTATGGATGGATGAGTGTCCATTTAGACTTATAGCTAGTGGGTTTTGTTGTAATAGATTAAGAGCAATTACACATGCATTCAAGTTTTGTGTACTCCTTTTCAGCTTTTATAAAAAGAAATGAGTTTTGTTTGGTGAGTAGAAAAAATGTAATTACTCTTGCTTATGAATTATTTGCTGGCATTGTTTTTATTTTTTACCTCTAGGTCCTTATTATTGCTGTTGGCATCAGCTCAATTTTGTAGAATCGAATTAGGCTTCTTTAAGGATCAGCTCAAATTTGGCTTACACCCTTTAAATTCAATTTGTCATACCTAAAACCCTTCACTTTTTGTTCCTATAAATAATACTCAATTTGTATAAGTAAAAACCCATGACTAGGATCCAACTCAGCAAGTTACCTAATTAAGCATAAAATCTGATTTATTGTACTTTTCAGATTCCAAAAATACCCCCAACTAAGCCATTATTGCATTTTGTATATTAATGTAGGAATCAATATGGAAACAGCTTTTAATTGGATTGTATATAATGACAGATGTTGAATTTGGAAAGATCTCCAAATGGTTGTAATGGATGTAGGAATTAATTTTGAAACATTTTTAAAAAAATTTAACAATAAATTCAAATTTAGGTAATCGGTTTGTTTAATAAAATGTTTATGTTATTTTCTTTTTATGAATTATACATGACTAATAATCCACTGTATAATTGTTTATGAATAAAACTGTACATACTAATTATGTTGAAAAAATAATGTACCTATT